GACCACGGGCCAGCAGACGGCCTCTTCCCACAAAGCGCAGGCCCTCTGTTCGTCCCACGGCACGGGGGCGGTGACCGCGAGCGGCACCGGTCCCAGGCGATACGCGGCTCACCGGCGGACTACGGGCGGCCCTCACAGCCGACACGGGTCTCCGGGGGCCCGAGGTCTGCGGCTTAGAGGGGCTGCGTGGCTCCGGACCAGGGGACGACAATGCGGCCCAGGATCAGCTTACTCGCTCAAAGTAATCGGTCCGTCTTTGACATGGACCGCACCACGGTCCACGAACACAATCAGCCCCGTCGTCCCCAACCGCAGCGCGGTCCGGCCCTACCAAACGGCAAGACGGGCACCTGAGGTCAGACCCCGCGCAGAATCCTCCAGCTGACACGACCGGGCGCGGTCCCGGTCTGACACGACAGCCGCGCCACTGTGCTGGAGACCTGACCTTTGGCGGAGCGGAGGCCGACGATCGCCTGGTGAAAGGTGGGCGCGGAATGGCACCGGAGGTAATTTGACCACGATGGTACTGTCTCTGACATCCCTCCCCCCCCCCCCCCCAGACAGCTGCGGGCGTGGGAGGGAAGCGCCTTGCAACCTCACCCTGACCAGGTCACAGCCAACTCCAGCCCTCTCCAGAGGCTGGAGGGCGGCGGGGAGGTGTCAGGGCCCATCAACACCCCGACAATGAAGTGGAAGACAGGTGAGCACCAGCCGGGCGCTGGGAGTGTCGGGGTCGCATCGCGATGACGATGAGAATGGTGTTGCGACTAGCATCGTTATGAAGGTGAAGTGTCGGAGATGATGACCTGCCCGTTTGGAAGTATTTCGTGCGCTCCATCACCCAACGCTAACAAACCGGAGCACTCGGTTACCTCATTGGGTAAAGATGCAGAAGCCCGAGAAGCCCGAAAACTATCGACCCGAATTTAAAAGAAGTAAAACGTGATAAACCACCGAAATCGTACGACAGCGCCCTCTGCTGACTCGCTACTACCGCAACTTTCGATGACCCCTATGGGCGCTGCAACTAAAACGCCCCCGACCGACCGCTCCGTACGGTCACAGACAGCATGGCCGCACCTTCTCAGACCCCCACCCGACAGAGCCCTGAGCTGGGAGGAAGACTGGCGGCCGACTAGGAGGAGGCCGGCTCGCCGGCGGCCTCCGCGTGCTGTGTGGCCGCGGCCGGCTCCACCAGCGGCGAGATGAGCAGCTTGAACGCCGACAGCTCGTTCTCCTGCCGCAGCAGCACCTCGATATCTGGCGACAGCGGACACACCAGTTCACGACGGCGCGCTGCGGTCCGGTCGCCTTATCGCAGGACGCCACGCAGTTAAGGCCCCCCACGACAAGTCGGGAGCGGCGGCAGTGCACGTGGTCCTCTCAGGGCGTCGTTGGGCCGCACCGCCGGCGGGACGCTCTGAAGCCAACCCAGCAGAGCTGCTTCGCCACGCGCCACGCCCGATACAAGCAGCGGGGGGGGGGGAGGGGGTTCCACAAAAGCTGCAACGTTATAATCACTGTTCAGGCCGCGCATGGTAGCCGCAATACGCGTCCGCTTGATAACGCTGCAAACTGCCGTCAATCCTAGAGCATCCCACCGAAGCTAATGCTGCATAGGCCTTCGCTGAGCAGCGGCTACGGAGCGTCCGCTACGCGCCACGGTGGTCATCGCGTCAGCAACGTATCCCATCCAAGTACGGGCGATGTGCGTACATTGTGCTGCCCACGTTCGCTCACCTCTCGCGAATTTAAAAACCGTACAAGACCTTATTTCTACATTCTACACTGGGTGACTAATGAGTGTTTGGATCGCCCAAACGTGGATGTCATCTCGCTAGGCGCTATCCCTTCGCACGGCCCAAATGTCCCCCCATATTCTGTTCTGACGTCCGCAACGACAAAGGTCACGCCTCAGCTTTCCGCAAAGACCGTCCGGCCCACGCCGACGTACGTGACCAGTCCGGCTTCCACTAAGCTCTGGCCTAACGCACTCTCAGACTCCACCGATCCTCCCACGCCCCGCCCAGCGGTCAGCGACATTTGCCCAACACCACGCACATCCCCGGCGGAGCGCCACCCGGTCGCCGCCGCTGTGCGTACCTGCCACCAGCTTGTTGCGCTGCCGGGTCATCTGCTGCAGCTGCCGTTGCAGCAGCTGCTGCTGCTCCAGCTGCTGGCGGCTGTCGGCCTGCAGCTGCTGGATGGTCTGCTCGTAGCGGCGCCAGCGGTCCGGCTCGACGGCAGAGGGCCCGCCGCGGCCCAGCAGCGGCTCCAGGCGGGACAGCTGCCGGGACACGGCACCGGAGCGAGGCTCAGCCGCGGCCCGCTCTGACCGGTCACACGCACGCACGCACGCACGCACGCACGCAGCCGGTCTGCCCGCTCCGTCTGCTGTCTCAGCTTTGTTCTCAGTGTCTGTGTGGTGACGTCAGCACGTGTGCCTGGTCCTGCAGCCGGTCTGCCCGCTCCGTCTGCTGTTTTAGCTGCGTTCTCAGTGTCTGTGTGGTGACGTCAGCACGTGTACCTGGCCCTGCAGCCGGTCTGCCCGCTCCGTCTGCTGTCTCAGCTGCGTTCTCAGTGCCTGTGTAGTGACGTCAGCACATGTACCTGGTCCTGCAGCCGGTCTGCCCGCTCCATCTGCTGTTTCAGCTGCGTTCTCAGTGCTTGTGTAGTGACGTCAGCTCACGTACCTGGTCCTGCAGCCGGTCTGCCCGCTCCGTCTGCTGTCTCAGCTGTGTTCTCAGTGTCTGTGTAGTGACGTCAGCACGTGTACCTGGTCCTGCAGCCGGTCTGCCCGCTCCGTCTGCTGTCTCAGCTGCGTTCTCAGTGCCTGTATAGTGACGTCAGCACATGTACCTGGTCCTGCAGCCGGTCTGCCCGCTCCGTCTGCTGTTTCAGCTGCGTTCTCAGTGTCTGTGTGGTGACGTCAGCACGTGTACCTGGTCCTGCAGCCGGCCTGCCCGCTCCGTCTGCTGTTTCAGCTGCGTTCTCAGGCGAGCGCCGGCCGTCTCCGAGTCCGACCAGGCGGCGCCCCAGCTGGAGTGAGTATTGCAGCCGGCGGCGGCAGCCGGCCGGCAGCGGCGGGCCCGTCTCCAGTAGGTCCAGCGAGCTGTCACCGCCTGCCACACACGACCCGTCACCACCCGGGCCGCCCGCCACCCGACGGCGCACGGTCGGAGCGCCCAGCACCGCCAGCCGCCTGTCAACACTCCTAAGCTTCACTCACTTGCCGCCGCAACTCACAACCCCCCAGTCGTTGGGTAGGGTGACTGCGTACAGACAGGTCCCACACCCGCTGACACAGTTGGGTGCTACCGACATAGAAGAACGCGATGGACACTTGGACATACTGCAAAAAGCTGCTCATTCAACCACCGCATCAAGCACCGATGCAGCCGCAGCTGACCTATGTGGGCGCTACCGACGGTTAAACAGTTACACCACTCTGCTCGACCGTTGTCCACCAGAGCAGCACATTAGTCTGGCACACTGCCAACTGCGGATTACTGCCGGCCCGCTACGCCCACCTACCCTCCGCCGTCTGAGCAATGTAGGCGTCCCAGCTCTTCTCAAAGGTCTCGTAGGCGGCCAGCTGCTGGCGACAGGTGGCCAGCTCGCGCTCCAGACGCTCACGCTCCAGGCCGGCCGAGCTCTCCAGCCGCTGCAGCGCCGACTCCTTCTCCTGGCAGAGACGGACAGAGGAGACAGTTACCAGTGCTGCAGGGGGACGCCGGAAGACGCGGCACTAACACACGGAGGACACGGCCGCACACCTTCTACCGCCACAGCCACAGACGGAGCCGGACGGTCAGGAACCTCCGGCCACTCCGGCACGCTCTCCTCCACGCTCGCCGGTGCTGCCCTCCCCTCCCCTCCTAGTGAGCCTCACCCGCAGTTGGGCGGTGAGCGCCTCGCCCTCGTGCCGGAGCCTCTGAGCGGCGTCGGAGGCCTGGCGTGCCGCCAGGTCGTACCGCTCCAGCTCGTACTCGGCGATCTGCAGCCGGGCGGCCAGCTCCGAGAGCCGGCCGCGCTCGACCGCCAGCTCCGACCCCAGCCTGCCGGCCAGCCGCGGCACGCGTCAGGGCGCGCTGTCTCAGACGGCGCGGCAGCGAGCGCTGGGCGGCACGGTGCGCTCACCGGCCCACATCCCGACCAGAGGCAGCGCACGGCACCGCCGCCCTCTCCGCGTCAGGGAACAGAAGCCGGCACTGGCGGGCTGCGTCACGCTTACTTCGCGGAGACGGCTCCGACGCAGCCGGGCCGGACGACACCGGACGTGGCGGGAGGAGACATCGCCACGGGATGGCCCCAGAGGCTGGCCAGCTTCGCCGACCTGTCGACCGGCCTCTGGACCTGCCGGCGAGCGATCACCCTCGCTACCGTGTCGTGTCGTGTCGTGTCGTGTCGTGTCGTGTCGTGTCGTGTCGTGTCGTGTCGTGTCGTGACGTGACGTGACGTGACGTGTCGTGACGTGTCGTGACGTGTCGTGACGTGTCGTGACGTGTCGTGTCGTGACGTTTCGTGTCGTGTCGTGTCGTCTCGTGTTGTGTCGTGACGTTTCGTTCGTTTCGTATCGTGTCGTGTCGTGTCGTCCTCACCCCTCAGCCGTTTCCTCGGCCTGCTTCCGGGCGGCCGCCTCGCGCTGCTGCAGCTGCTGCTGCTCGGCGCGCAGCTCAGCCGCCTGTGCCGCCGCCTCGGCCAGCAGCTGGGTGCGCAGCTCGGCCGTCTGCTGCTGGTGCTCGGCGCGGGCAGAGTCGCGCAAAGTGGCGTACTGGCGGCGCGCCGCCCGCTCCGCCTCGGCCAGTTGGTCAGCGCGCACGCGCTGACGCGCCGCTTCCTCCTCGGCGGCCGTCTGGTGGGCGGCCGTCTCCGCTAGCCGGCGCGCCCAGGCCAGCTGCTCCGCCTCCAGGGAACCCAGTCTGATGGCGGGGCACGTGGTCAGGTTAGCTGATCACCATCCCCACACCCCCGCCCAGCGACAGCCACGTGCGACGATTTCACTGGAAGCCGGTCTCTGGGCCACCGCATGAGTTATATCACGGTCAGCAGAACACAGACCGTACAGCAGAACACTACTCCGATATTAGGTGGAATGTGACGTTAAACAGAACTGGTACTTCTCGATTCTTCACCAAATCCCAACACATTTTTTCGACGGCTTACACCAAAAACGATATGGCCAGTACCACCCCAAGCCTCCGCTGCGGTACGTTTGACGCCTGTGAGAGTTGGTCGAGCGCCTCGGCGGGTGACTGACCGGTCTCTGACTGCCGGCAGCTGCCGCTCGGCCTCCTCGGCCCGCTCCAGGCGCGCCGTCACCTCGGCCAGCCGACTGAGCGTGTCCTCGCGCTCCGTCTCGGCCGCCGCTAGTCGCGCTGACAGGTCGTCGCGCACGGCGCGCGGCAGCGCCGACTCCCGCAACCGCTGGTGCGCCTCGGCCAGCTGCTGCAGCGCCGCCAGCTGCTCCTGGCGCGCGCGCTCGGCCAGCTGGCGCGCGTCGGCCAGCTCGGCGCGCGCCGCTGTCAGCTGCGGCCGCGCCGCCTCCAGCTCGGCGGCCAGGGAAGGCACGCTCGGACTCCAGCTGGCGGCAGCGGGCCTCCAGCGGCGCCACAGACTCGTGCACGCGCAGCTGAAGGGACAAGGGCGTCAGGTGGCGGCCGCGGCCGGCCGGGTCTCGTCGGACAAGTGCGGACAGTGTCCGCTCACGCTCACAGGACATCACGTCACAGCGAATCACGCCTTCAATCTGTCAAAGGTTTCTACTGAGCGAGGTCAACAGGGGGGGGGGGGGGGGGGAATCAGCATCCTTTCTCGCTGTATCGGAATGAAAGTTGCGCGCATGCTTGCCTACAAGTCACTCTGAACGGATGACGAAGACTATGTCACTGACCGCGGTAAAGTCCTTGAGCGACATGTTCTGCGGGTCCATCTTGCTGAGCTCCTGGTAGCGGGCCTCGCTGATGTTGAGATGCAGCAGCGAACGCTTCACCTGGTCCGGGGTAACCTGCAGCCGACTGTTGTCTTCCTCCAGCTGCTTCTGCCGGCTAACCAGCTGGTCCAGCTGCTGCCGGAGCGCGGCCAGCTCTGCCTCGTACTGACCCAGCTGGCCCGTCTGCCTGCGGAGGAGTACAGCGGACCACGGGTGTCAGAGAGAGAGAGAGAGAGAGAGAGAGAGTAAACAGTCCCCTGCTGGCCCGTCTGTCTACGGAGGAGCACAGTGGACCACGGGTGTCAGAGAGGGAGTCAAAAGTCCCCAGCTGGCCCGTCTGTCTACGGAGGAGCACAGCGGACCACGGGTGTCAGAGAGGGAGTCAACAGTCCCCAGCTGGCCCGTCTGTCTACGGAGGAGCACAGCGGACCACGGGTGTCAGAGAGGGAGTCAACAGTCCCCAGCTGGCCCGTCTGCCTGAGGAGGAGCACAGCGGACCACGGGTGTCAGAGAGGGAGTCAACAGTCCCCAGCTGGCCTGGACACAACGGCGCACAGTGGAAACGGGAGTAAGACAGTGACCAAGCGACCTCAGCCGCAACTGACCAGTCCGTCTCGCAGCGCCACACAGCTCGTTGGGTGGCTTTCGCATCTGCACAGGCACAGAGGTGACATCCAGCAGCATGCCATGCCGCACGTTATCAAACCATCGCGTGCGGACCACGCCGCGGACCCCGCGCGTCTCAACGTGCCGCGGCCGAGTAGGGCGCCGAGGGTCGGCTCCACGGTCGGCCGGCCAGCCAGCACACTCACCTGATCTGTAGCATGTTGCGCTGGTGGAGCGCCTCGGCCAGCTGGTCCTCAAGCTCGTCCACCCGGCTCTGCTGCTCCCGCTGCTCCACCTGGTGCAAATGCGCCGCTGCCTGAGACCGGGCCGCACGGCAGCGCGCGCCAGCACGCACACGCCCAGCCTCCGGCACGCGTATAACACGTGAAACAGCCACCAACGCACGCTGGTGACGTCGAGACATGGGTGACCAATAACCAGTTCAGTACATGGTCGCTTCAGGAAACAGTCGCCAAGGTAATAGAATATGAATGTGACAGTGGGCAGTCAACTAAATGGCTGATTTTCGATCTCTTTCTGGTGGTGATACAACTCGAAAACCCACTGAGACCAGTTTGTTTGCCAGGCCACCTGCCCCCATGCATCCCAGGTATCAGCCCGACTAAAACTCATGTTTCTATAGCAATAGATTAACAGGTGCTCACCTCATCCAGCATGGGCCTTACTGGCTCTTACATGTGAGGTATGCTCACCACCCCTGGAGTGATCATGTTTAGCACCTGCTTACCTGCCAGTGAAGAGTTAGCCTGATCCCACCTGCTACTGCTGAGTGACCCCTGTTCATCTCTCCCTGCATTGGGCTCATCTCACCAGCTGTCACTCATCAAATCCTGCCCACCTCTCTGCTCACATGTCTCTGATGGACGGGCTGTGGCTAGACGAGCTCTTGTCATCCACCTCTAATGAGTAGCTTTCCCTAACCTGTTTCTGGCGGATGAGCTCTCCTCACTCGCTGCTAGTGGGTGAGATTTTCTCACCTGTCTCTGGTGAGTGAGCTGCTCTCACCTGCCTGGTGGGTGAGCTACTCCCACCTGTCTGATGGGTAAGCTGCTCTCACCTGTCTGGTGGGTAAGCTGCTCTCACCTTTCTAGTGGGTGAGGTGTTCTCATCAGTTTGGTGAGTGAGCTGCTCTCACCTGTCTCCGGCGAGCGAGCTACTCTCACCTGTCTGGTGGGTAAGCCCTTCTTATCTGTCCCTGGTGAGTGAGCTGCCCTCACCTGCCTGGTGGGTGAGCTACTCTCACCTCTCTGGTCAGTGAGCTGCTCTCACCTGTCTGTAGTGGGTGAGCTCTTCTCACCTGTCCCAGCAAGCGAGCTCTTCTCACCCATCTCTGGTGGGTGAGCTCTTCTCACCTGCTTCCGGCGGGGCGAGCTCCTCTCACCTGTCTCTGGTGGGTGAGCTCAGCCAGCTCGACGCGAAGCAGCTGCAGCTCGTGCATGAGCCGGGCGCGGTGAGCGTGCGGGGGCGAGCCGTGCGGCCGGCCGCCGCCCTCCGACGACAGCGACACGGTGAGGTCCGTCGGCACCGTCGACTCGTCGGCCGTCCGGTGCGCGCCGGCCGCCGACTCCGACGTCGTGGTGGTGGTGCCGCCCCGGTCTGACATGGCCACCCTGCCGACAGACAGGTGCCACAGCTCCAGATGGGGGTGGTAGATGCCACACTGGTCAGGGAAGGCCACCTTTCAGGCAGGACTCATATCATGCACTGGTCAGGCATGGCCACCCTTCACACCAGACACATACAATGCCTTGGTCAGGCATGGTTATTCTTCATACAGGACAAATACCATGCCCTGGTCAGGCATGGCCACCCTTCAGACAGGACACCTGCCATGCCTTGGTCAGGCATGACCACTCTCCAGACAGGACATATACCCTGGTCAGGCATAGCCACCCTTCAGACAAGACACATGCCATGCCCTGGTCAAACAAGGCATAGCCAGTAGACAGCTGCCTGCTGGCTCTGGGCAGAGATGCTGAGAGGTGCTTTGGACACATGTGTGTATCAATTCCATAAAATCACAAAATGCTGGAGCACTGGGGTAAATGGTTTAGGTGTGCTTAACAAAAAAAACCCCTGGAGGACAGAGTCTGCTCTTTAAAAGGAATATGGTTAAAGGGACATCACAACTATATGGTAAGAAACTTAACAACATGTATCCATCACTGAGCAGGCATGCCTAACTTGAGTCGCAAACTGTTTTCTGCATGAGCTAAGTCAAAACTTGTAGTTGAAAGAGGGAGTTTCCCAGTGTTTTTATAGCTGCTGATGGATGAAGCTCATGGCCATCACTGCTTGATATATCAATGTGCTTCAAAGAGGTTTCAGGCTTCACAAAATAATCACCTTTAGCCCATTTCATCTGAATACCATATTGGTGAGCAATATGATACCCTGCCTCTGCAATAACACCCAACTTAAAATCGATTTGACCTGATTTAGAATAAAACAGCCCCAAACCATTCTGATGTCAGAAGTCATTGTAAATGCCCAGGCTGAGGTCATATGCACCAGAGATTAGCACCCATGAGGCAGCATAAACAAGGCATGAATGCTTCAGTGCATCAACCTTGAGCATGGACTGAGATGAAAATTGCTGGGCCAGCCAAAGTTGCTGCTATAAAAATAGCTTTCACAAAAGGCATGCACATGCACACCCCATGGCAAATACATTTAAAATTTAAAATGGCTTTCCAAGTCCAGAGAACAGTTTGATATTAGTTTTCCTTGGAAGCCAGGAGTCACCAGAAAGCTGTGACCAAGCTTTGTAGAGCTGAACATTAGAACATATTTTCATATATCTTTCTTTACTTTGCCAGTGGAAATTTGGATAGCATTCCGTGTCATCACCAATTGCAGCCAATAATTGGAGAGGGTTGTAGGAACAAGCCCTCAAGGTGAGTTTTTGTTTTAGCTATGCTTGGCTGAAATGGAATGCTGTCTCTAGTAGTGCACATTAGTTTTGTCATTCACATCATTGAAGTTAAATGTATGGTGCACAAATTAGAGAATAATTCAGGAGTAAATGGAATTTCCTCACAAATGATATCAAGTGAAACTTGAGGGCAAATGATGATGGAAAATAAGGGCAAAAGGTATTTCATTTCACACAAAAACATTAACTTGAACTTTCCCAGGATATTTTTCCAACCACTCACATGACAAAAAATTCAGTGCATGCACTTTGCAAATGACTACCCACCCATTACTGCAGATAATTAGCAGCAATTTCAGAATACTAAGAGGCAAGGTTTCAGGGAATTTGACTGTTGTAATAAAATAACAGGTAGACATACCCCAGAAATATTTCTGTACATTGTTTGCTGTCTGTAGATATCCTTGCAAGGATGTTCTAAATTCACCTCGCACAAGCACCATGATTACTCCACTGGTGCCCCTTGTGTACAATGCCAATGCCTGCTGCAGTGGATTGATATTTTGTAGACTGGTCCAAGTCCCAGATCACCATGATAACATCAGCACAGTTAGTCTGAGTGCAGACCAGTCTGGGAAGCATTTTCTTACCCTAGAGATTGGACTTTGTGTTTCATGGGAATTGCATGCACAGGATCATATACACATGCCATTTTTCATACCAATTTTTGTTGTACTTTCTATATCTTAACATTGTTTGCTGTCCATAGGTATCCCTGCAAGTGTCTTTTCTAAATTCACCTGACACAAGCATCATGATTACTCCATTGATGCCCCTTGGGTACGATACTAATGCCTGCTGCAGTGCATTGACTTTTTGTAGACCGGTTCCAAGTCTCAAAATCAGCGCGGTAACGTCAGCACCGTTAGTCTGATTGCAGATCATTTCGGGAAGCATTTTCTTGAACACTAGAAATCGGACTTTGTGCTTCGTGGGAATTGCATGTACAGGATTACAAGCACATGCCATTTTTTAAAAAAATGCTATACTTTCTTCCCTACTTTCTTACCGCACAACTTGCACCACCTAACTTCCAGCTCCTATCGCGAGCCCACCTCTTCCCAGCTCCATTGCAATACTTCCGCCCCTTTTTCACCCTTACCCGCGATTTGGCTGTGTGTGCGTCGATATCAGTTCTGGAACGCCGGTTTTGAATTGAAGTTGCCCGCCCACAAATCTATTGCTGCCATATACCATGCCAGTTTTTTTCTAAAGCATCAGCGGCGACCAGCAGCTCGAACCCCGGCCATAATCTAGAAGTGGCATGTTCAGGGAGGACCTGGTACGTACACACCACACACAGAGTAGCCACTGGAGGCATGTGACCTCCGATACAATCAATGTGATGCATTGATATATATATATATATATATATATATATATATATATATATATATATATATATATATATATTACACACACACACACACACACGCACACACATATATATATGTGTGTGCGTGTGTGTTGTGTGTGTGTGTGTGTGTGTGTGTGTGTGTGTGTGTGTGTGTGTGTGTGTGTGTGGTGTGTGTGTGTGTGTGTGTGTGTGTGTGTGTGTGTGTGTGTGTGTGTATAGGTCTGGATATGTACGTGGTGACTGGTAGACAGGGACGTAGTTTCGCGAAATGAGTTGGTAGCTGAGCAATGAAAAATAATCCAACATGCTCCCAATTATGCCAACAAAAAGGCGTCTTCACGGACTTCGCATATATTCTCCCAAAGTTGAAAGGGGAACTGAAGTTTAAGCTGGGGGGGGGGGGGGCGAGGCCACCCCTCCCCCCAACTGAATAGGAAACTATATCCCTGGTGGAAGACACGTTAAAATAGAAAACCGAGAACATACGATGTTCCTGTGCGTTGCGTAACAAATAACGCACGCGTGCAACACAATTAATTCAATTTTCCGTGAAAATTGCGCATTTTTGCTTCTTCCCGCCCCATAATAGCCACTCCTGTGCACGTCCATGGGGG